CTGACTTTTCAAAGAGTAGTACCTAATATAAGTGACAAGGTTAGAGGCTCTGCTGAAGTAAAAAAGTGAAAGACCGCTGGAAATGTCCATAGCTAAATTTTATATATCATTATTTTTAAAACAACAGTGCCTTGAGTAAAAAGCTGTCACACGAACTTATGACCAATCACCTCTAAGAGCTATTTTTCAGCTGTCTTCCGATGTAGCTGTTGTTGAAAAAGCAAGCCTACAACTTTCAAAAATAAACAAAATAGGCTGTAAGGGGAGATAATCCAAAAACTAATTGACATATACCCTTCATACTTATCACTTAGCAGCGACAAACTGAGCGAGTGGTGTTAGAAATGTTTCGATGGATTTCTTATTTCTGGTCATGATCAAACGATACCGCAACTGTTGTCCAACTATGGCAAAAAATGGTAAAATGACCAGTGGACAATGGAAACGCATAAAGAAAGATTCTACCTTTACATGTGCGAGCGGAAAATAAGCAGTACACCGACATACCCGCATTCACGGTCTCTTTTGCAGTAATTACGGCCAGACGTGATTTCGCAGCAATGACTTCCGCTAACTTCACCGCCTCGTCGACCACTTTATCAGTTGGGAACACCCTGGTGACGAGACCTAAAAACGTCAGCCAAATAGAAAACCCGAGTTTGGACACAGGTAATAAACAAGGTACCGTTTTCCTTTGCCTCCTGGGCTGAAATCTGGCACCCGGATAGAATCATTTCCATAGCCAAAGATTTACCAACCGCCCTTGCCAATCGCTGAGTACCACCAGCTCCTGAAAACCAGCCATGCAGACTAAGTAAACCGATCATCTACGGCTATGATAACACAGTTAAAATTAACATTTATTCTTGATTCTTACTTAAATCAATAAAGTTAAACTTAACATGGTGAAAGCAAGATGATGTACATTAAAGAATATCGCTTACTATAAAAACTAATTTCTAGTTAGCCTAATATTAGTTTCAGGTCTGGAAAATTATGACATGATTGATTAACCAGCATTCTCTCTTAATTCTCTGGATTTACACGGCGTAAATCACCATCTCCTTATTTCACGGCATTTTAGCACCTCCAGTGCATAATATCAGTGTTTAAGTAGTACACCTATGTCCTCCGATAGTGGCGTTTCGGCAGGTGTCAAAACAGGATTTTGTTCTGCCCTGCTCAGTGATGCGAATTAGCATCCCAACATATATATAATCATAATTATGAGATCTGCAAAATGTGGAAGACAAATACAGAATGTCCTTGCTTGCCATAAAGAAATTTATAATGAAAAGAAGAAACAAACTGTCTAATTAAAATCTGATATCTTCCTGAATAAGCAATGGTTTGTTCCTAACAATCAACCAGCGTCGACGACTGAATGCCTTCTACAAGCTACGATTAAGAACGCCGATAATCAGAAGAAAAATAAACTGATGACCCTGTCGCTATGGTCTCCTCCCCAGCATCATCTTCCAGCAAGTAATGTTAACTTTTCAATCACTGGTATTTAGTCAGCTAGACAATTATTCGTTTACTTACTTGTTAAATGACAGTAGTTATTTATTCATTTATCATACATTATGATTCTACTTACGATATTCAGATTTATATAAAGCATATATAGCACTGTCGAATTACGATAGTTATAAATTTTTACATTTAATATCAAATATGTTGTAGTATAGAGTAGATACAGTCATAATGACTAGATTGATCCTTCACTATATCTAATGGAGATCACCATTGCCCAATCTCGATGCCTACGCTTGTTTGTCTCATGCGATTTGATGTCACAAGCTTCCATATCTCTCATTTAGCTCATGTTTCCGTTGGAGCCCAGGTCCTTGCAACTGAGCGCTTCCAGCCCCATTGGTTCCAGTCCGTCACTACTGCAGTCCATCAGTTGGTTGAGTGATGCAATCGTAGTTTGACTCTAGCAACACGCAGAGGATTGGGGAGGTGATTTTATTTGTGATTCGTTTGTATTTATTTTGTATTTTATTTATATCTTAGTCAGTGATTCTGGCTCCACGCTCAACAGCATCTTCGACAGAACTAGGAGAGACTGAACCGGCTAGGCATAGACGTTATCAAAAGAATGTTGGACCCACCAGCAAAAGTTGCACTTCACTAGTGGTAGCGAAAATACTCAATACGCGTGCCTGTTTCTCCGGTAGCAAAGCAGCATATCATTCCTTTGCTTCCAAAAACCTCAAAACCACTCAGACCGGAAGTATCAAAGGATATATTTAAACCCAAAGAAAGAGATTCCTGAACATATTAAACTGCTGCAATATTGTATACCACACCTGTTAAAATTCACTTTCAATATAAGTCAACGATAAATGAACTCTCCGCCTTTTTAGCAAGACAATGGCTTTGGACGTGATCGTCTAAAAAGACTGTTTTGATCAAAAGATTTTGCGATTATTATATATTACTCCAAGATATTACAGTACACTGGTGAAGGACGTCAGTTCAGTGTAATAGTACAAAACTTGTACAGTAACAGAGAAGGAAAACGCTTTATCAACCTGGAATAATGCCAAGGTTGATTTCGGGTTGACCGAACTTCGCTTCCTCTCCGGCGTAGATTATGTCACAGGTCATCGCTAATTCGCATCCTCCGCCAAGCTAGAAAACAACAGCAGACAGTAGACCGCATACACGTTGAACAACAATCATGACAATTTGCTGTAGTTCGCTGGCAACACTTCAACAATAATCAGTCCTTGCGGTTGGCAGCAGAGGGGCAATGATCAAAGTAAACCAAAATGTCAGTTGTTCCATACCTCGCGGCAAAACAGTGGTTTACATTTAGCGGAAAGTCTCAGCGTTCGTAATTAGTAGTCCTGAATTTCCGCCAAACATCGCAAATCTGGACGACTATGTCATTTAAGTTACGCTAACCCTTGAGGACAAAAGCAGAACGGCTTCAGTACTCTGGGACGAGCAATCAAAATGAAGTGGAACGTCACGGGTACAGGTTACAAATTCACGGCAGCCAAAATAGTCATTACTGGCTCAATCAGCCAATTTCGCCTCCTCTATTCTCAGTGACGAAGAATACCTGCTGTACGAACCGCTGACAGGTTGCGCTTCAAAACATCAAACCACGAGGTAAAGTCTAATCGTGTTTTTACAGGAAAATAATGATACAGAAAAATCATGTTTTTACGGAAAATCTTCCTTCATGTGTGCGAGTCGAACGGTAATCACTGTAGGAGTAGTACCACATGCACGACTGCACAACAGTGGGAATGCTTCTATTTAAAGATATCATTTTACAGCAACCATAACAGGCGCTGGCTGAACGTTATTTGAAGTCTGTGGTGATGAATGTCATACGACCTACATTACAAAAATATAGGTGGTTGAACATGCGAATTATAAAACAACTATGTGCAACCCGCCTCTGGAACGCTGACATCGGTATCGCCACAAGACCGTTTCACAGGGACATTAGGTAAGCTAGGCATTTTTCTGTATGAAATAAGTTTTCTGATAAAGAAGGCTGATCTGGATCGTGTTGGCCTCTGGATCCGTCATGATCAGCAAAGCCGGACGCTTCCATAAGCATCACAGAACGCCTCGAGTGACGAAATCGGTGCTTTAGATCTGTCGCTAATGCTTTCTGGCATCGTTTACAGCTTCTCTTTGTCTGTATTCTAGTTTTGCATTTATGAAGCAACCACTTGCCGGCCAAGTCAATTATGTCCCGACTGTGCAACTGACATGACAGCAAAATCAACTTTCAATAAAAGCCTTGACATCAGCGGCGTTTAGTGCATGTATAATCAAATTAGTTACGATTTCAACTATCAACGAACCAAAGCAAGACGTGCAATCTTGCTTGAAGATTCTTAACACTGATTTGATGTCATACTTTTCTTCCAAGTTTCTTTTAATGTCTACACAACATTCCCACCTGTTAATATTTACTGAGTTACTGACGTGCGGGGGCGTGCACCGCCGCATCATAACCCGATAGCCCTATCTGATGATGATTCGAATGATAAATGACTTACACAACAAAGTACCACTGGCATTTTCAATTTCTACATCGTACTTTAAATGCAGACAGACAAACCACGACACAGCTGGCCAACCACCCAATGGTACAACCCTTTCGGTCGAAACTGTATCTCAATACTGCACCATACGACATACCAATCGTTTAATGAAAGAGTTACCATGACTGCCTACTCAGGATCAACTACAGAACTGCGTTCTCGTTGACATATCATGAAAACAAATCAACTCTTAGGCTTTTGACTGAATTCAGCTTCTATCATCAGGGCAGCAGACACCGTTTTTCAGGCGTCTGGTCAGAGCACTGTGCAGGACGATCTGCCCGGTTAGGACTGCGCGTTAAGCTAATCGCTTTGGACTAAAAGGTATGCTTTGAGGACTACACCAGTCCCTGAAAAACATCGCTGCTGGTCTTGCTACAAGAACACATTTAGAGTAAGAGGCCTACGTTAGAAAACCGCCATTAGTAATTCAACGTAATCAGTCAAAACTGAATAATAAACCTGATCAATATTACCACTGAAAAATTTTCAATGTCGTAATTATCGAATCACATAACAGTCTCGAAAGTTGTTTGTACCAGTTCCAACGGGTCATACTCTAAACAATTGATCAGTTTCCTATTCACTACACTTGTTCTGCTTTAATCAAGATAAACAATTTTCGATAGTTAGCTGTTTAGTTTGACGGAAACAGCTTCCCATGGAAACCACCTTAATGATCGCATTGCCTTTGCTAACCACATCCCCTTGACCATGTATAATATGAGGTATGCAACTTCTGCAATATGAAAACTACATTAGACAGGAAGGCACACTAAGCTGACGCCTGAGGTAATCTTGGTGTCAGTCATCCAGGGCAGTAACTTGTAGCATATTTTTCACAGCACTTTCTGCCCGACATTTGTGAGTAGTGTCACAACATCATTAGTTATGGCATTAACCTATGCCATTAGCATATCTTCCATGCTAATTGACTGATTACTACATGATGTCTTGCTGGTTGCCATCTGAGAGAGGCAGCTGAGCTCACCACTCAGCAGCAATAGGTAGGAGATCTTCAGAAAACCAGTGGTACCCCGAATAATTAAACTAAATAAATAATGATAAATGTCTATTAATTTCAGGCTGAATTACGGATCAGCTTCAATTTAACTCGAAATATCAAGTTTTATTTTAACATACGAGAAAATATATTGTCGTTTTAATTATACATTTATTTATTATTCAAAATATAGATTTTAACTCCGCCATGGCCGGACCCAAGCCCGGATGAGAAAGGAGGAGGTTTGGAGACCGTGGCAAGTCTCCGTAAAATTCAGCCACCTGCC